GCAGAAGCAGAGACCAACGGCGAAATCTCTACTGAAGAGCCCAAGGCCGAGACCAACGGTGATGCCTCTGCAGAAGACGTAGATGTAGACGTCGAGGGTGGCGCCGAAGTCGAGGTAGAGGGAGAGGAAGCCCAAGCCGCAGTCGAGGCTAACAAGGGCCGCTTCATCGTCTTCGTCGGTACGTCCTGTGCACATTCCGATCTATCATACCCATCTAACGTGCAATTCAGGCAACCTTCCCTACAGTGCTACGAAAGAGCAAATCGAGAAGCATTTCGAAAAGATCAAGCCCACCGACATCCGTCTCCGCACATACAAGGGCACTGAGAAGTTCATGGGCACCTGCTTTATCGAATTCGACCGCTACGACCGCATGGTGACGTGCTTGAAGAAGTACCACCACTCCCTCTTCGCCGACCCCAAGAAGAAGGAGGGCAGGAAGATCAATGTTGAGCTGAGGTAAGATTTGAATCCTCTGGGTCTTCTACGCGCATCCCTGGTCCCCTACCACCCAACACAAAGCAACAGAACACACACTAACACCACCCAACAGCGCAGGAGGCGGCGGCAACAGCGAAGCCCGCAAGTCCAAAATCTCCGCCAAGAACGAGAAGCTACACGACGAGCGTGCCCGCGACCGCGTCAAGAAGACAGAACTCGAAATGAAGCAGAGCGAGCGCAAGGCGAAGAAGGAGGCCAAGTCGGGCAAGAAGGACGGCGATGACGCCGACACTGGAGAGGAGGCTGCTGCAGCAGACGAGCCCTCTGAGGCTGCTACGTTTGGCATGAACCCTGCGCGTTTGGCTATGATGCAGGGTCCTGAGCGACCGCAGCATAGGTCGAGATATTGAGGACTGGATCTACAGTGAGGATGGGGATAATGTACGAGAGAATTTGCTGCGATTTATCCGTTGGTTATATGAGTGGACTTGAACGTGATTTGGGGTTCACCATCTGGTCTCATCTCAGGATACACCAGCTTTAGAGCTTTGACATCATCCAAGTTAGAAGTTCGCAATTCAGCTTTGACATCATCGAAGTTAGAAGTTCGCAATTCGTGTCTTTGCGCTCTCTCTTTTGCCAAAATATGTTTATTGTTATGGATGCAGCTCTATCGCTGGGTAAGATGGTAGTCTAATGAGTGACTCAAGAATCGAAATGGGTCGTGAATCAACGCGCTCAAAACATAGTCCCTGCACAAGGAGTGTACCGCAGTTGGAGCTTGCGTCGCAATCAGTCGAGTTCATCGGTCCTGCTAGCTGCAGTGCTAGTTTCCTTCATGCGCGAAAGATCAAGGCTTAGTAGCCGTCGCCATAGCCGCCCTTGGACGTTGTGCAGACCGTGGTGGTGCCAGTGGTGATGTACGTGGTCGGCTTCTTTGCAGTCTCCGTGACGACAGACCCGGTGGTCTTTGAGCTTGTGATGGTCTCCTTAGCAGTGGAGACGCTGGTCTTGTAGGAAGTTCCGGTGGAGCTATATGCGTGTCAGCCAGCAGAACACCCCGAGCAGTAGCGGTCGTATACTTACACAACTGGCACGGTCTCAACCTTGGTAGCAGACTTGACTTCGCTCTCTACCTTGGTGTTGTAGATGGTAGTCACAGTCGAGTAGGTCTTGGTGGTCAGATAGGTGGTGAGCTGTGTGACCGTCTTGGTGCTGGTGCCGGTAGTGGTGTATGGGTAAGGTGCTGTGACGGTCGAGAGCTTCTCAGTAACAGTGGTGACAGGAATGACCACAGTCTTGGTAGACAGGTAGGTGGTCTTGCCCTCCCCGACGCTGGAGCTGACGTATGTGGCTGAGAGAAGTCAATCCAAGATCACAGGAAGCTACAGGTAACCACTTACACGGAGTGCAGATTGTTGTCTCTTTGGGAGGAGGCGCAGACGAAGTCTTTGGAGGGGGTACGTATGCGCTGGAAGAAGACTTGGGAGGCACTGCGGAGTAACCGGGGAAAGCAGCAGCGAGAGAAGCTGAAGCAGCGAGCGCGAATAGGTTCTTGAAGAGCATCCTGGGCTAAAGACTTGAGTGATCGAGAGTGAAGGTAAAGCAATTGGCGACAGATTTCGACTTGTAGCGAAAGAGTATCAACTAGACTGTTGCAGACTGTGAAGGCTGATGATGCTTTTGAAGCGCGACTATAGGGTTACTTTATACTTGAGCCTAGCTTCTCAACATACACAAAATCGACGCATCGTTGTCATCCTGTGCGGAGAAACGAGGCAGAGTCGTTCTCTGGTGGCCCGGATGATCGACGAAGCGATCCGTAGTACCTTGCACATCTCGCACGATGGCTTAGAAGAAGATACACCGCGGGCCTCGTACAGCAGGTAGAGTATCAAATGACAAAAATAGGTCAAGCATGTCGATGCGGGTCCAGATCAAGTCGTCCCATGGAAGCATGCATGCATGCAGTTGCCACGCTACCAGTGCCCACGAGTCCACCAGTCTAGTGACTAACGAAGGGAATGCATCTAGTATGTGTACGCAAGCCATGAAAAGCGATGAGTGGGGGAGTAGACTATGAGCCAACCGGATCTTCTGGTGTGGAGAAGAGAATTGGAAGCGCACTTGGCAAAAGTCTTTCTCTCATGGACTTGATGATGACCGAGAAACGTAAATCGTCGGTACCAACGACCCGGATAGCTGACGAGCATCTCTATGACTTGGAAGTACGAAATGATGCTCAGCTGTGTATCCAGGACTTGTACATCGAAGCACGTGTCGAATCAACGTGCTGTACGTCACGCACGTTTGTCCACCGGGTACCCTGGTGGTTCCAAGCAAGAGTCCCAGGAACCCGGAAACATCTGAGGTGGCAAAAAGCCGGGGAAGCGTAAGCTGAGTGTGTTGGTCGGGAACTAATAGTTAGTCGTCGGGTGTACCTGACGGTGATCACTGCATACTGCAGGTTGATATCGAATCTTCTTCTCGCCCGGTTTTAGTGAGGGGAAAGATGGGCAATACGAGGGAGGTGCGGCTGGAGCAATCAGCAGCTCTTACTTGAAGGCGTCATTCGCAACATGCGCGTCTGATCGATCACTTTGTCATGGCGAAAGCTTGTTTGTACATGACAGGGCATTGATGCGGTGGGTGAAGAGGGGTTCAGCCATTGTGGGGAATCTGGGCGCACGGCCCGAGACCCACCGACGCCGGCTTGCATCGCAACTTTTCTGTGACGGGCGGACGAAGATGTTTGCCCGGCCATTGTCTTCTCACGCCACGCCTTTGGCTAATAACACACTCGCTCCGGGTATATCCACGACGCTGCCTCGCCTGTACGACTCTCGGCAAGCCCAAATTCCCCTCCTCTGTCAGCAGAGACACGCTCGGGGGTCCGCAACGTCCGCAACGAATTCGGCATGCAACGCTAGTCCTGCAGTCACCCGACAGATTACCCCAGAACACTTGCAGTACGGCTCGAGAGGTTTATGGAAGCTGCTTAGAAGATTCCGATCTTGCGAATGATGTCCCGTCCAACGGCAGCGCCGGTCAACCCCCCTCCACGGCCGGCTGAAAGCACATACGACGGAACGCCGATTACGTCTTCACGATCATTACGCCAGCTTTCGATATACTTCCTCGGAAGCGCCTGCTTACTGGCCTCGACCGCAATAACGCGCAAGGCCGTATGGAGGCGGCAGCTCCGTGTCATGCCAAAGTTTTACGAAGCGAACACGAACCCGCACGAATACTTCAGTCCCTTCTCAGATGCCTGCCAGGCCTTGAACCTGGCCACGATGAACTGCGCCAGTGTTGGCATCATGGCGCTGGGTGGCGCAATGTGGACCTTTGATATTGCCAATCTGAGAGAAGCTCGCGCAGTTCTACGAGGCCGCTTGAACTACGATCGGATATACCAGTCCGAGGATGACGTACCGAATACCATCAGCGAGATGATAGCAGCATCCGGCCAGATGCGAATAATAGAGGAGGACGAGAAGGACGGTTCTGACAAGAACCAATAACGACCGTTAACGTGTACAAGTACGACTGTAAGATTAGTGTATACAACAGGAAGGCTGAGTGCCTAGTAGCTGCGCATGGTAGCACAAGCACGGCGCGCTCGAATTGCCTCATCGGAGCGACATTTGCAATCGAGGCACATTATTCTGCGCCCACTGGTACAACCCCGCCTTTATGTCAAGTCGAGACCCTCAACATTGTCGACGTGTCGTAGATTATGTAGGCTACTTGATGCTAATGCACCATGTGCAGAACGCCTCGCCAGAATGTTGAGAATGACGGCGTTGTCCTCCGATCGATTGCATCAGAGGCACGCGGTTGACAATTCTAGGGGAAGCCTCGAGCATTGAACTAGTTCGATATGCTTTCCGGTACGTTCCAAGGTTAGTTGGAACGGCTACGCGGAAGGGTCCCACAACATAAGCTGAGTGCAATGTCTATGATCGGCGTCTCACCGCGACAAAGTCCAGTCTCAATCATGTCTCAGCCAAAAACGGGTTGTGATGAGCAGCTACAACACGGCGTTGGGGCGCATACTATCTAGATGCAGCGTGGTCTGACATCACATTGATTTTCAGAGCCGCACTAGTGATTAGGGTCTTTCTGCCAATGGCATCTCTTCTAGACTAGATGGAACTAGCAATGTAGCTGCAAACGAAGATATAAGTGCAAATCTCTAGGGAAGTCCCAATGCGGCATATACAGCCAGCAACTTGAATCATACCCATCTCCACGACATACGTCGTAAGCTCGAAATGAGGAATAGTACAATATTACTCTATGCAAGGCGTTTTTACTGTACATACGCAGCATAAGCTTACAAAGCCCACTTTTCACTGCGCTTCATAGCCTTGGCACTAAACATGCTTCGCCTCGAAGTTGGTCCCCAAAATCGGTCTTATGTCACGAACTGAACATGTACCGTTCAGCATGTCACACTGCAGTATATCTATGTCGAGAGACCCGGGAGCTCAGCAAACTTCCACATCCGGCGACCATCTTGCAAATCCTCGTTTACTTTGGCGTTCTCTCCACCCCTACTTGGCGCCATCCTCTACCTTCACACCTTTCTGCCCATCCCTATTCGCCCTCCAAACTCCCTCCCCGCCTTCAAACCTCTCTAGCTTCCATATCTCGGCTTTGTCCTTTGTCTCTTCCAATGCCTCCTCACCCGCTCTCCACGCCGCTTGCCGGTGCGGTGCTGAAACCGCAATAACAATACTCTCTTCCCCAATCGGGCATTCGCCCAACATGTGAATGATGGCGATCTTGGTGCATGCGTGTTTTGTGAGGATAGAAGTAGCGATCTTGAACAGGGTTGAGATGGCAAGAGGGGCGTAGGAAGTGTAGGCTAAAGAGGAAACAGGCTCGTTGTTGAATGAGTCGCGTGTTGTGCCTATGAACAAGACTGTTGCGCCTGCTGATGGCGATCGGACGAATTTGGTTGCTGACAGGGAGTCTAGGTCGTGCGGGGTGAGTTCGACATGGATGGTGTCCGTGGTTTTGGTAACAGGGTCCGAGGGAATGTCTGGATTGTAGGACTGAGGTTCTGTGGTTGCCATGCTGGTAAGTACGCAAAGATCTTGTGTTTGGCTGTTGTATGATAAGCTGTTATCCAAGAAATAGTGTGTACACGGATCAGAGCATGGGGCAGAAGAGACGATTCCCACCGTTGTTGGTTTACTTTCGCATTGTAAATACATTTTCAACTGGAGCACTTACTTTTTTGCAATCGGGAAAGGGTAGTGAGTTCGAAGGAACCTCCCGAGGTCTAGTCCTTTAAGGTTTGAGTAGTTTCCCTTCTCTTGAAATTGTGTTGGTGAAATGTCGAAGATGCCGTCATAGCAGCGCGGGACAATGCTTTAGCGCCGATCAACGACGTGCACCTCACACGTGGAGCGTTAACTCCGGCCCCGCCCCTACCAAGCTCTAGTCGCGTCGAACCACTGACCCTGACCAAGTCCAAGCCAAGTAGTACTCGAGAACACCTCGCTGCCTGACGCTTGACTGCCTTATTTCTCCGACCAAACATTCGCGCGACGTACACGACCGACACCCGGACCCTTCGACCAGCGCTAGCATCACTCGCTACATTACTTGCTTCGACGCGCCGTGCCAACCGACTACTCTTCAACCAAACGCCCCGACACACATACAGAACCGACCACCTTCTACAATCGAACGTCGAACCGCTCAACGCACATGTACATGGCGAGGGATGGTCTACAACACCGCATAACACGTAACCCAAGATGAGTGGGGACTGGGGGTATGGAGCCGTATTCAAGATATTCCTATGGGGCTACCTCGTCGGAGGGTTGACGCTCCTGCCCGCTGTACTCGTAGCCGCATGGTTCTTGGGAACCAGAGCCGCGGAACAGGACAGCCACAACAACAACACTGCAGGCGACGGGGCAACTCCAGAACAGCGCAGGAAGTCGGACACGTCCGCAAACGGGAAGAACGACGACAACGTACAAGTCGGAGTGGGAATAGATGACGAGATACTGGAGAAGCTGAAGGGAAGGACCCATGAGCCAGATGCCTGCGCTGGATACTTTGCGGTGTGCCGGGAGTATGTGCCAGGCGGCGTCAACGGCAAACCTCCGGATCGAACGACGCCGGCCGGTGCTGTAGTAGCTGTGGAGAGCCCGAGCGTGTACCAGTCTATGTACAGGAGCATCTTTGACAGGAATAAGAACGCGAGTCCCACAATAGAAGCATCAAACGCGAAGAACAAGAAGGCCCGGAACGTCTTCTACGTTGTCCTACGGTATGTCTATATATTACGAGTACATGAAGTCAAACTAAGTCCAGACCAGTCTCGGCCACCTTATGCTATACGACAACGAAGACCAGCTCGAAGTACGCCATGTCATATCGCTCGCACATTACAAGGTAGACATATATGGTGGTGGAGAACGCATACCAGAGGGCGAGCTTTGGATCAAGAGGAACTGTATGCTAAGGTTCAAGCTCCTGTCATGTTTCCCCAGTGCTTACAGATACAGGCATTCGACTGGTTCAACAGGTAGACAGCAACAGCAATGTCGAAGCGAAAGGCTTCTATCTTTTCTCAGACAACTGTTCCGAGAAGGAGGATTTCTACCACGCGATGTTGCACGCCCAAGAGAATCAGAAAGACCCCACCGATACAGGCTCGCCGTCCGTTCCGCTCAAGTTCGATACACCTGATCTTGTCAAGCTAGTCCAGCAACTGCATGCTTCGGAGGAGAACCTACATACTCGCTGGATCAATGCGCTGATTGGTAGGGTGTTTCTCGCTCTATACAAAACCTCGCAAATCAAAGACTTTATCGCGAGTAAGATCAACAAGAAAATAGCCCGCGTGCCTAAGCCTGCCATCATCAGCAGCGTACAGCTACGTAAGGTCGACATGGGCACCTCGCCGCCCTTCATCACGAACCCCAAGCTCAAAGAGCTGACTGTCGATGGCGATCTCGTTGTGGAGGCAGATGTTAGCTATAAGGGAAGCTTCCGCATCGAGATATCAGCTACCGTACGAATCGACTTGGGCACTCGATTCAAAGCCCGCGAGGTGACACTTGTGTTGGCTGCCGTTTTGAAAAGGCTTGATGGACATATTCTCATAAGAGTCAAGCCCCCGCCTAGCAATAGACTCTGGATGACCTTTGAGACGCCCCCGAAGATGGAGTTTTCGCTTGAGCCAATCGTCAGTTCGCGTCAGATCACATATGGCGTTGTTCTGAGGGCCATTGAGAATCGCATTCGGGAGGTAGTGAACGAAACATTGGTGTTGCCCAATTGGGATGACATGCCGTTTACCGACACTATCGCGCAGGTCATAAGAGGTGGAATCTGGGAGGATAGCGCAAAGGATGATGAGGAAGACGCAGACAAGATCAAGCAAGACGAAGCCACACTGGAGAGTGCGATCTCGGATGCTGAGAAGCTTGATGAAAAGGCTGATGCGGCAAGTGCGCACTTCTCCATCGCCTCAAGTGTTGATTCAGAAGAAGTTGGCACTGGTGTTTCTACGTCGACAGACCACAAGTCATCCTCGGCGTCAATAAGACCCCGCGCAATGCGGTCGTCATCATCCGTGGCCCAAGTGAAGATTGACTCGTCGAATGCTTCTGCTGAGATGTCAAACGACCGCACCATGACGCCTACAAGTGTCAAGTCGCTTCCTGTCGCATCGCCGATGCAGTCGCCAATGCGGCCTGGCAATGCACGCCAAACGACAGAATCATCAGACAGCTCGTCGGAAGACACTTCTGCTGCCTCGGTCTACGCAGCGAGCATTGCCTCCGCACCAGTCCCGAACACGGATCACTCACGCACCAAGTCGAGGGAGCTATCTGCACAGGAAATTGCCGCTGCCGCTGCCGCAGCAGCAGGAGCAAGCAACATGGCGACAAAGAAACAGACCATTAACCAATCCCTCAACTCTGCCACAGCAGCAGCCAGGAACTGGCTCGCAGCCAAGCAGAACGCAAAGCCCAACACCAGTACCACCAACAGACCACCAACATCCGAGGGCCCGAGCATAGACCACGACTCATCGTCATCGTCATCTCTGGACCCTCGCCCGCAACTCCACTCCAATCCTTCCATCACGAAATCCCACTCGGAACCCATGGGCAGAGGCCAACCCCTCCCTCCCCCAGGCACACCTCTACCGCACCCCAAGAACGAAAAACGACAAACGTGGGCCATCCCCGCCGCAGCCTCCTCGACATTTGCGAATCTCACGAAACGCAAACCCGTCGTCCCTGGTCCCAGCTCACCAGCCGTCTCCAGCAAACACTCAGTCGAAGATCTCATCGACAGCCCAAAAACAGCACTAGGCACAGCCTCCCTCTTGCCCGCCGCACACTTCCCAGATCAAGACGCCAGGACGGGAGGGGGCGGAGATGACGATGACGGGGAAGATGTGTTTCGGGAGATGCGGCGGAGGAAAAGCAGTGCTGGCAGTGCTGGTACTGCGCATACTGCGAGTGAGCTCGCGACGCCGCCGCCGCCGTTGCCCAAACGCAGACAGAGACAGCCGAGTTTGAATCTGAGTGCGCATACGAGGCGGGCGAGTCAGAATCAGAATCTGCCGCAGCTTTGTGGGGAGGGCGAGGGGTTGTTGGTCGTGGAGGCGCCGGTTGTGGAGGGGAGTACGGGGAGGGACGATGAGGGGAGTAGGGAGAGGGGTGTTACGTGAGGAGGGTAGTGTTGAGGTAGTTCATGAATGTCATTCTCGGCACGAAAGCAAGGTCATGCAAGAAACCGAACTGAATGCATGCTGATAACTCGTGTAATATCTCTTTTGGCCTATCTGCTTGACGACCTTTTCTTGGGGTATAAATCTTCATCTCCAGGGATCATCGTCCTCATCCCATTTTCGCATTTGAAAAGTCCATCTCAGGGTGCTGCTTCTTGAACTGCTCCAGGATATCCGCCTTCTTCTGCTCGTCGCTCGTCGGCTTCCCTAGCTCCTTCTGCTTCTGGTCAAACATCATCTTCTCCACCATGCCGCGTGTCTCCCCGTCGAGGTCGCCCAGCTTGCTGTTCTCGGGCTGGATCTTGGAGGTGTCGATCTTGGGCGCTGTGGTGACGACGTGGGCCCACCACTCCATCTGGTTCACTTTGTCGAGGTGGATGGAGATCTCTTTCTGGGACCCGATGGAGGTCAGTGTCCAGGTGGAGTCGTCAACGCGTATGGCATGAGGCAGCTCGCCCTGGACAAAGCGTTAGCACATGCTTCTGCTGAGCGGAACAAGCAAGGACGAACGTCGATGAAAGGCTCCTGGCCCTTGATGCCGGCCTTGAGCGCGTTGCGGGTAATCTTGACATCCAGGTCCTTGCCCTTGTACTTGCCATCAATGGTGATGGCGATGTCGAGGTCCTTGATGGTCTGGTCCCACTTGTAGGGCAGGGCGGCCTGCTCGGCCTGCTCCTTTGCGCGGGCGTCGGCGTCGGCCTTCTCGCGCTCTTCGGGTGGGGGTGAGGCAGACATGGCGGCGTGTTTGGCGGCGTGGTGGGAAAAGTTTCAGTGTTTGGGAGGGGAGCGTGGGCGGGACACGATGACGCTCCTCCGCCGATCCATCGTTCGCAGCAAGCCCGACGCAAGCGCAAGCTCCACCATGCGCCCTGCTTCACTCCTCCTACCCCGGTCCACTCCAATAACGGACATGCTCCTCGGATTGCAATCTACGGGCCACCCTCTCCTCTATTGATAACGCGACGACTCCTATCCTTCTGCCGCGCCGTGATGCTCTCCTAGCACCGCCCGAGCCATTGCGACACCCGGCCACGACACCCGCACCCACCGCCAGCACGACGGCTACACGGCACCACCGAGCCCGCGGCCCAACCGGGCAGCCACCTGTGAACTCATGGCCAGCTCCTTCGAGAAGAGCGTCAAGGGCGGCACCAAGATCAAGGTAGCTATGCGCCCTCGCTCCTTCCGGCTGCTCCCCATGCGCCATCACGCTGGACTAACACACGATACAGCTCGCCGCGCCCAAATCCAAGTATGTCGAGCACATCCTCGTCGCGACGCATGCCGGCGAGGCAGGCGTGGCTGAGATCTTCCGCGCCCTCACGAACCGACTACGCGACTCGACATGGACCATCGTATTCAAGAGCTTGATCATCGTACATCTCATGATAAGAGAGGGCGAGCCCGAGGTCACGCTCAAATACCTGGCGCAGAACCCACACAGAAAGCTGGCCATCAACCATTTTACAGAGGGTACGTCTTGAGATTCACTTCCGGGCCGCCCAGCCAGGGTGATGTGGCTACAACACGGGCACGAATTGGGCAGCAACCGCGTCGCCCAATGCCCTGTATCTTGAGACGGATGTCATTTGGACTGCAACAGAGGGCATACACCAGGCGCTAACATTGCGTGCAATAGTACAGACCCAGGGCCACAACATCCGGACCTATTCCGAATACCTGCTGCGACGCGCGATCGAATATGGCGCCACCAAGGTCGACTACGTGCGCGGCGGCGAGGGGCGGCTTAAGCGGCTGACCGTGGAAAAAGGCCTTCTTCGTGAAGCCGAGAGTGTGCAGGACCAGATCAGATCACTGCTCAAGTGCCAGCCCTTCGACGACGAACCAGAAAACGAGATTACCATGACAGCGTTCCGATTGCTCACGATGGATTTATTGGTACTCTTCCATGTTATGAACGAGGGCACCATCAACATACTCGGTGAGTCCAACATGTCTTCTTGGTTTACAGGGTATTGATAAAGTAGAGCACTATTTCGAGCTGTCAAAGCCAGACGCAACGCGCGCGCTGGCAGTATACCGCACATTCGTCAAGCAGACCGAAGCTGTCGTCCAATACCTTAGTCTTGCAAGAGCGCACGAACACTCGACAAGACTGGAAATCCCCAAGATCAAGCATGCTCCTACCAGTCTGGCAGCATCCCTGGAAGAATATCTCAACGACAAGGACTTCGAGATCAACCGACGACAGTACATCGCCGAGAAGGAGGCGAAGAAGAACGGGGGCAAGCCCACCAATGGCGCTAGCAAACCCTTGGATACGAAGCCTTCCACGGCGAATGCACCCTCAAACAATACGAGCAGTCAGCAGCCAGCAGCAGCCTCGAAACCCTCCTCCAGCGCACCCTTGATTGACCTCTTTGCATCACTCGAGGACAACCAACAGACCATGGCCACGCAGCCCATGATGCAGCAGTATCCCCAACAAACAGGCTTCCAGGTTCCACAACAGACGGGATTTCCTCAACAGCAGCAACAGCCCTTTGCTATGCAGAATGGCCAGAGCACCAATCCATTCCAGATGCAGCAGCCACAGGCGCCGCAGATGCAGGCACCCCCGCTCCAGTCACAATTCACAGGCGCAGGCTTTGGAGGCTACTCGCCTCAACCGTTCGGCGTACAGAATACCATGCCTTCAATACCACAGAATGGTATGCCTGATTATTCACAACAGCAGCAAATGCAGATTCCTACAATTGCCGAACCCTTACAACCACAACAAACGTCAACAAACCCGTTCCGACAGTCAATGCTGCCCAGTGCCGAACCCAAGATGCTCACTAGCCCTACCAGCACAGGATCGCTCAACCGGTCATCCACGAACCCATTCGCAAAACAAAGTACCGGTTTCTCGCAGTCACAATCACCCATCAATTCTCCACCTTACTCCATGTCACCCATCCAAGAATCACCATTTGCTCCGATGCAGCAGCAGCCTTTACAGCCGACTCCAACCGGCACAAATCCATTTGCACGGCAGCCCTCGCCGCAGAGTGCCGCATCTCCACAAGGTGGCCTCACAGTGAACGCCACAGGCAGTACCAATCCCTTCCGGCAGAGCGCTTTTGTCAACCAGCAAACGGGGCAGGGTTGGCAGAACACAGGTAGCCAAGGGACGATGGGAGGGATGAGTCTGGATCAGGTACCCACAACGAGTGTCTTTCCACGGCCTGGACAGCAACAGCAGCAAAACTTTCTTGGCTAGGGTCAAGACATGATGATGGGGCAATGGTAGACTGCGACTGTACGAAGCTCAAAGGGCAATTCATACACTCGTAAACGGGCATTTTCATTAGGGATGGCGTTTCTAAATCGCTCGCCGCTGTAGTTATTACGTACTCGGTTGGACATAATCATGTTGCACTGCGCAAGGCTAGTTGTGTGTATATCGGTTTCTTGGAAGGGGCGTCGGGAGCCCGCTCAATGTCGGATGTCCAAGGGCAGATTGGGTTGTTTTGTGATAGATCATGTACCGACGATGTTGTCATTTGTTGACGAGCTGGGCTGAGGCCAGGAGGGGAAGCCCCTCACTAATGCATTATAATTACTGTTGCACACCCCACGTTGTCCTCCCACTGTGCAGAGCGTTGAGCCTTGACTCTGACTTTTGTGTTGGCAATTCTACCTGTGAGGTCGCGTCGAGTGGGGCTAAATAGTCGCCATTGCCTCTTAGGTAAATGCAGGGGTAATACAAGCCACGTGCCGACGCGTTGCCGTAGATTTAGCGCGACGGACACAACTTGCCTATCAAGCCTCACAGTCGGTACAACACTATCCCCAATCTCACTCACTCAACGCCACTCTATATGTACCACGGATGATCACGGTTTCTGCCATCTCTATCTGGACCCGCCTCCCATGACCTTATTGAAAGAGCGCAAATTTGTCGACTGGCGCTGGCAAGCCCGCATCAGCGTTATCAACAATGAAACCTGACGGGTCTCTGGACGCTCCCTTCACTTTGGATGACGACCCGCCTAGTTATGTACCTGCACCTACAGTGCGACGGCGCCATCGCCAAACGCTTGACCAAGATGGGCTTGAGGAGATCTCCGACGCGCAGCAAGCTGCAGCTGCATGGAAGGAGGTCGCCGCACGGAGACAAACGAAACAAAGACACGGGAAAAACATGAGCAATGATACGTCTGGAGGAGATAGTAGTACGAAGGACAGCAATCTCACAAACAAACCGCGAGACCGGACGTCGTCATCCACGAAGTCTGTTGAGATTGTTGATCTTTCCATCGATGAAGACGAACCGCCAGTATCCGGACAAGCAACACAATCAGGCGCAAGTACTAGAGTAAATCAGCGCCCAATTCAGGGACCACAGGGTTTTGTTCCTTTGCCTACTACGCGTCACGAAGCTGTGCTTCCTGAGCGAGCTAAGCCTGCTGAGTCTCCTAAGAGAACGAGTCGGATATTCTCTCTCCCCATGGAATCTCTAGCAACTCCGGCGTATTCCTCACATCATGCACCTCTATCATCGGTCGCACGAACAGCGGGGCCGTTCACGGGACTTTCAGAGCCCTCGACAACGCCGACTCATCACTCACACTTTGTGCCCAGCTCATCAGTGGTGCAAGCTACAGAACCAAGTGCGGAGCTTTCAAGGGGACCTTCAGCAAACGCAGTCTATCAACCACGCTACCTGCCTCGACCATCGGTCACACAAGGAGCGGGACCAAGTGCGGGAGTCTCCAAGGTCACGCCGCTGAACCGCTCGCCGTCAGCCGCACCAACACCAAGTACAGAACCGAGCGTTACCACTCAAGCGATCCTGGGGCATGAGAATCTTTCCCCTCAGCCTACGTACCGTGCGACGTCGGCCCTCGGAGCCTCAACCGACCGTACCGCACCCGACTTGGACCATGCCGTGGATCCATCGGCTCAGCCAACCAGTAATGTCTCCGAGACTCCACCTGAACAAGCCTCTTCAAGTCGCGGAGATACAATTCCGGAGTCGGACGACGCAACACCGGATGATGACAGCGGCAGCATGACTATCCCTTTGCCTAATAAGTCGCCCGAGCCAAGCCTTTCAGCAACACAAAGACTGCCGCAGAAACAGAAAGCCATCAAGTCAGTAAGACGAAGAGATGATGGGTTCTCGGGTTCACAGCTGCCTGTCAGAACACCGCGTCAGTCTGCGACTGATCATCGGGACGTAACAAACTTATCCTTCAAGCCTCTCGACCTGGGCTCGAGTAAGTCGAGGTCCGGGTCGCCTGTGGTAACACGTCGTAGCCAAAGCAAAACTCCAACGATAGATACTAGTATCATTGCTGATAGCGGGCCTGCGCAGACGGAGGAGGAATCCGTCAGGGCTGCCAGTCCTGTGGAACGCAGCACAACGCCGACACAATCGCCGCCACCGCCACCTCACGATGAGGCAGGCGAACCTGCACCAGGGCGTGCCATTAGCTCGACACCTTTACTGTCCCGTTCTGCCACCCCTACTGCCCTGTGTCCTGTCGAAGCATCAGCAGAGCCGACCCGGCCCTCTGAAGCGCCATTATCAGTCCCCGAAATTATGATCCCAGATGTACCAGCTCCGGCAACAGTCGTCAGTACTCATCCAACCATCCAACCCGAACACCTTCGGGTGCCTGTCGAGAACGATGGTGGTAGAACAAGCAAGAAGCCCCCACTGCAAGCAGATGTGCTCGTCACTACACGCTCAGCTGTAGAAGCGTGTTTGAAACGTCATGTGGCGGAACGACATGAATTACATGCATACCTGATGGAGACGAAGATGCGGAATCAGAGAACATTTCAAGAACAAGACCTACGCGCCCAGTCCCGTAAGCAGAAGCGTCCACAACAGCCAATCCTACCCGAAAAGTACATTCAGAAGACTTCCCCCTTTGAGAACATGCGTGCTATACAAGTGCCGTTCGACAGAGCCAACGCCAAGCGCCTCGTGGATATGAGTCAGGAAACATTCATCAAGGCCAAACCCAAGGACACAGTGGTCAAGTCAGGCTTAGCTGTGCCCACTACAAAGTACAAGAGTGATGCGCCAAAGATTCCTCCTTTCAAAGAGTATGTCAGTCTGAGGAACAACGTTCTTAAAGACAATGAGTCAAAATTACTCGCAACACCCTATTTCCAGGACGAAGACTATCGTGGTCGCGAGGTTCTGCTGGATACGCTTCCTTATATGTACGAGATGACGCATGACGAGAAGGGGCCGCTAGACTTCCGCAAGGAACAGTGCCGGTTCTACGATAAAGCCATCGAAGCATTCTTGTCTGAGATAGGCATCACGTGGAACGATATCCTGTTTTGGTTACTGGCCCGGGATGAAGACCTTGTACGAATCAACGACTCTTTGAATGGAAGCAAGCAGTTTGAAGCACAGCTCCTCGAAAGATCACGATATCACATTGAGGAGTTTGAGAGAGACGGTGAGCCGAAGAAGGCTATTCTGTTTGATCAGAACAACAAAAAGTGGGAAGAGTTCGTCGCACAGCTTGAAGAGCCGATCCCGAGTGCTCTGAGACTTGCGGCAACAGCTTCTGCAGCGGTATTCAAAGAATGTGAATTCAGCATCTGGTACCTGGCTCAACAGTCCAAAGCTGTACAGAGTCTCATACGGAAGAAGTCTGCACATGAGCAGTCTTCCAAGCATGCAACGTACAAAAAGATCATGTGCAGAGTATGCCATCAGTAAGTACCAATGCATGGATTTTGATGCCGAAATCCTAACCTTCTTGACAGACACGATTGCCTTCTTCATGGCGAGATCAGACAAGTACCTGAGGATTCCTGGAAGACGGACTCGGAAGACGAAGAACGAGCTACACAGGCGACTGATGATACCAGTCGTCGAGGCTCCAACAACAAAACTTCGCGCCGGGTGTCGAACTTTAGCAGAGACGACACCGACGATGAGAACGAACCGGGCGATCCCTTGCCCGCACACTTCGACTCCGACTCCGACATTGAGAAGGTCATTAATTATAAGCTCCCTGCAAACCCAAGCGCTTTCGAGTCTTGTTCAGAGACGGAGATGATTACTCCCAAAGGTGCAAAACCGCCACCTGGTAAGTTTAATAGCACTTGGTGGCTGAACCAGGATACAACGCAACATTGGGAGAAGAGGAAGCCTTTTTTCCCATGCAAGCACGAAGGCAGCTGCGAGAACGCGAAATGCCGGTGCTTCAGAGAAGGCATTAACTGTGAGAAAACATGCAAGTGCTCTCACTCTTGCAATCGACGTTATCCTGGTTGTAGTTGTGCAACAGCGTCAGGGAAGCGCGTGTGTCTTACACAGACATGTCTCTGCGTCAAATTCAACCGAGAGTGCGATGCAGACCTTTGTGGCTCTTGCGGAGCATCTGAAGTCCTTGACCCGGTGAATCGTTACAACGATGAATTGGTTCAACGTAATTGCTGCAATGTTGCGATACAGAGGGGTGTTCCTCGGAAAACATTGCTCGGTCATTCGGAAGTGCATGGCTTTGGACTCTATATGGGCGAGGACATCAAGAGTGGAGAGTATATTGGTGAATATACTGGCGAGGCCATCTCGGTTAAGGAAGGCGATCGCCGAGTGACGATATACGACTACCAGAAGACGATGTACCTGTTTCGTCTAAACTCGAGTGAGTTTCTTTATCATTCTTACGCGAATCAGATTGCTAACACCAACATGTAGAGCAGGAAGTTGATGCGACATACATGGGTAACAAACTACGCTTCATCAACAATGCCGACGACAAGTACACGAACTGCGGCCCCAAGAACTTGCTGTGCAACACAGTCTTTCGCATCGCGCTCTTCGCCACCAGAGACATCAAGGCAGGCACCGAACTGTTCTTCAACTACAACTATCCCAAGGAGAAAACAGAGCAATTCAAACAGCCGAATGCCAAGATCGTCGCGGTCAAACAGACCAAGCAAAAGACGAAGAAAAGGGAGTCACTCACCAGTCTGAGCCAGCCCATCGAGGACCGCTCACGTATCCTTGCCGCCACAGCAAAAGCCAGAGAGGCAAAAGCAGCGAAGCGGAAAGAGGCCATGCTGCAAGAGGGCGGCGTGGAGCCAGCCACAAGAAGGCGCTCTGGAACACTTCAAGCACGAAAGGCAGCTACGAGCAAACCCGGACGCAAAGCAGTGCGAAAGTCCAAGCGCGGAGGGCTCAATAGGAACGAGTCCACAGGTTCAGATACGGGTATGGATGTAGAGGCAAGCGACCCCGAAATCCCCGAAATCCCTCCCGTCATTGAGTCGCAGAGCACTCAGACTAGTCTGTACGTCCAGGACACGGAGGCGGAGGACGACGAATTCATCTTGCCAGATACCCAAGAAGACGAAGAGCAAGATGTGGCTGAGCCGGCCTCTGAGGATGATGAACCGCCCGGTCGATCTACGAGGTCTCGTCGTGGGCCGGGTCGACCGCGTAGGAGGGCGTCGGATGTGGCGCCGGTGGTTGCGGTCAAGCAGGCGGTTAAGCAGGCGGCCAAGCAGAAGAAGTCGAAGATGGGTGGTGCACGACCAGGTGCTGGCAGGAAGAGAAAACGACCCGTTATTGCTAACAGCGATGATGAGTGAGACCTCTGTGCTAGTAGTTGGGATTGTACATTGGTGAAAAGATGAGTGGGATGTCTGTTTGGTGTCCATTTTTGTGTTTAATACCCCATTCTATATTGCTCCAAGCAAAACATTACTACAGAAGAATTTTACGTGCCTGTGAAGTTTCCAGCCCAAATGCGCAAGGCGTGTCGGCACCCTCAGCGATGGAACTTGCATAACCTACTTAGCCACCCTTGCCACTGCGCAAGCAGCTGCGACACAAACCTCCAGAATCACAGCAGACCCGTGCATCCCCGCAACACCAAAGCCACTCCCTCACCCACCCCGTACCAAACCGCTGCCCTAATCCAGAAGAGCTGCCAGCCCACCCAACGGCCGCACCAATCTCCGGGACGCGACCCGCGCAAAACTGCAAGCCAGTACCGGGCGGCATGCTTACCCATCTCCAGGGCTAGTGTAACCACACCCAGCGATCTGCAACAGCGGGGAAAAGCAAACGAACATTCGTTCGAGACCGAGACTATCGAATCGAACGCTTAGGTAGCGGGAAGAGGGGGAATAAGCAGCGGCGGAGACTGGAGGTGTCATCCAGACGTGGGATTGACGCACAGGCGTGATAGGTAAGTAAGCTCAGCGGGAACAAGCAAAACCGTTGGTTTTGATCAATATTTCTAAGATGCATATGTGACCTGCACAAATGTTGAGATTGCGATTGCACTGTGCGCAATAACTCCTATCTATGCTATTTGATTTGGCATTCAGCATACTCGGGTTTACCAAACGCCCCATGCTGTGCGTGCGCCTCTTCCGGTGCGGATCGCTGCACCCACGCACGAGATGTGCTACAGGTATGTATGTAGCCAGCCGATGCGTTTAAGGTTTAGAGTGGGGCGGGGAAGGCCTGGCTGGGTGAGATGTCGGCGATGCAACAGGAACGCGTGGAAACGGCGGGATGGCATGGGTGAGATGGATCTTTGTAAGACTTGCTATGCAGCGGAGATGCCGTGTGAAAATGTGTGTGGTGTCGCACCTGATTAAGCCCGGTGCAAAGAAGAGGCGGGTAAAGACATAAATGAACGTCACGTGGGAGCTCCACCATCCATCTTCAGGGCTGGGCAATGTCTTGAACCTGATACATCGCAAGACGCGTCTTCACACATAGCCCAGCCCATGATTTCCCATCCATAGGCAGCGCTACGCACATACATCTCCGTCGACGTACGTCAACAAAACGTCTTTCTTTTTTACCCACACCCCTTAGCTCCGATGCGCGATCTGAAGCCCGAACATGGGAAGCACGAAAATACCCGAGACACAGACGCGGGCCAAGCTTGCACCAGAAAGGGAACGCACCTGCTACATTTAGCCTCTTTGCTCCGCAACCGGTGCTCCACCCACTCGTTGCTGCACTAGCCACACGCTCGGCCAACCTTCGCGCCCACGCCGCGGATTCAAGCTGTGGTGTGCGTGGTGTGTAGTCCGGCGCGCGTTTCTCTGCTACGTGAGAGGAGCAGTACATACATACAAGGAGGATGCAATACTACTATCCACGTATAAAATGAAAGAAGCAAGACGGCGGAACAAAAGCCCACGGAGACGTTCATCTCCGGCGTCGCGCATGCCGCAACGAGGTCTGGATCCACCCGGTGTGATTGGATGCTGATGTCATTGTACGCGGCTGGAGCGTGCACCCACTTTCACATGTCAGACGACGCTTCACGCATCAGCAGGACCCAGGTAGGTGCTGCAACACGGACAACGGCCCCACTGTCCAACTCGCGCAAATGATGGCGCGCTTCACTTGCCCTTCAGCTGGCGGTGCGTAACAAAAGCTTGGAGCAAACGTGTGCCAAACCTCACCTTGCTTGTCTGTCCGTCCTCCTGAGGCGTGTCTAGACTCGCTCGTCACTTTTTGTCTGAATTGTTCCGCGGAATAATTAACTGCAGTAACCAAGGGGGTTTGTGTTGTTGGAACTGGGTATTCTTTCTTGCCGGTATCCGCAGTGTTGCATGCAGCTGGATCTGTTCATCATCCATTCTCAGCCTTACTCCTCATTTCTCACCTGACGTCTTCCCGACTCCGCTTTCCATCACCACCCACCCACCAAACCAACCATCGGGGCACGCTGCCGGCACATCACCACATCCACTTTCAACCACACGTCTCGGTCTTTCTCGACGCACTTCACATCTCCTCGGCCAAATGGATTGTATAGAGGCCATGGGTGCGCGACGTGCCATGTCGCTCATGTTCACCGTTCCGGAGCGCTTCGTCGGCTTCGCGCACATGGACCAGAAGACTTTCTTCGAACTCTCGGACTGGATCCTCGCAAACGTCGCATCAACGATTACTACCGACATAAGTGTGGAAGAGTCGCTCTTCATATTCTTGGATATCGTGGCACAGGGGAACAGCTTCAGTACCGTGGCGTATGGATGGGATCACGACCTAGAGCTTACGCAAGGGTACGTTATCGAGCGAAAACTGTTTGCGTTGTATCGAGGTAGAGACTGACTGTCGCGCGTAGCATATTCCTCAACGTCCTCAACGCCCTCACGGTCCTGCGCGAAAGCAGGGAGATTGCCGATTCATGCCCGCCCTTCACACAAACCCGTAAGCGATGGGAAGTCGCTCGGAGATGGAACCAGAAGCGGGCGCGTATGGGCACCGGCGGTGTCGTCCGCATCGGCTACGACGAAATGTTGCGCGACGGCCTCGAGGTTGACCAAGAGTGTCTGAAAGAGGCGCTGATGGCGATGAACAACTTCATCCACGAGAACGCCGACCACGACGAATCATGATGGCGCACAAAATTGCTAGTTTCCTGCATTTGTTCCGGTGTTGGTTTGGCGTTTGGGTAACGACTTGGTAACGCATTGCATCGGTTGGGAGGGTTGAGCTTGGTGTTGACAGTCTTCTTTCGTTCTCGGTTCGTATGTACATATGTACGCTCTTTTGCAGGTCGAATTCGATCTCGACTGGCCATTCGGTGCCGCTCAATTCGCCTTCCTCAGATATGTCGTGTGTCGTGACGTCTTTCATATCGCCCGCTCAACCCAAGGCTACGGCTTCCACCGTGCCTTTGCCCAGCACACTCAGTCTCCCCCTCTTGATTCCCAATGCGTCTTCAATCCTCGCATCGGGCTCTCCCTTGCTTCGTCTCATCATCGCCAACGTTATGACACCAGCATCCACATACGTTCTTCCCTGGAACCCTCTCCTACCAACGTCTCGCAACTCATCTTCCGCCTGGTCTGCTATCCGTTGTCTTGCCTCCAGTACCCGGAGTACAGGGTTATTGCGCGGGTCGGGGAACGCAGACTGCGGTGGCGATTGCATCATCGTATCGGAGGGAAGATTCGGCGAGGTATTGCGGCGAGGGTCGAATTGCGAGGCAGACGAAGGCGAGAAATGAGGGTTCGGTTGGACAGCACCCAGACTGCTCAGGCGAGATGCAAAGGCAGGGTCGCGGGCATCTTGTAAAACAGCTAAACTAGAAATCAGTTTCGTGTCCCCATGTGCTGAAAGCGTGTGAACACATACCCTCGGTCTTCTCTCCAGTAGCCTGCACCTCGGGATGAACAGTCGGTCCCTTTATAGGATCCTGTGCGGGTGCGGAAGGCGCGGGAGCCCGTGTTGTAGTATTTGTAGGGGCTCTGGTAGGGTATTTACGAGCAGCAGAGCCCGCCGCCTTTGCGCCTTTGGAAGCCGAAGAACCCATTATCTCTGTTGGGAATACGTCGAGTGTGGGGTAGTTGCAGAATGTTGAGATGCGTGGTGATAACGGGGGCAAATAAGATGGACGTATGGGACTTTGTGAAGCTTGGACCACTCTGATGATGTAGTGGAGATCTTCCGCGTCATGAAAAGGGTTTACTACTTTGGGCGATGCTTGCGAAGGCTGCAACGAATCGTAATTTTGTTTTCGAACACATCGTGACATGCTAAATCTACCAAGGACTATTCTGGCCTATAGGAGCTTTTCGTCGGCACGGTAGTGTCCTGCGACCAGGAATGCCAACTCCAACGCCTGCTTCTCGTTCAACCTGGGATCGCAGTATGTGGTATAGTTCAGGCTTAGATCCTCGTCCACAAGTCCTTCACTTCCGCCAGTGCATTCCGTAACTGCATCGCCGGTGAGTTCCAGGTGCATGCCACCGAGGAAGGATCCGTGCTGCTTGTGAATCTTGAGCGCTGATGAGAGCTCAGAGAAGATGCTGTTGAAAGAGCGGGTCTTGATGCCAGTAGGCGTGCTGCGCGTGTTGCTATCGACACGTTAGTGGATGAAAGATTGCGTACCAAGACGACTTACCCGTGCATGGGATCGCACTGCCATACTACGACGTGTCCACTGCTCTTGACAGCTTCGATGTGCGCTCCAAGCATCGACTCAACCTTGTCCGCACCATATCGCGTGATCAATGTAATCTTGCCAATCTCCTTGTTCGGATTGACAATGTCGAGTAGCTCTACCAGCTCGTCGTTCTTCATGGAAGGACCGACCTTGATACCAATAGGGTTTTCAATACCGCGGAAGTACTCAACGTGGCCTCCGTCGATTTGACGAGTTCGGTCTCCGATCCAGATGAAGTGAGCAGAGGTATTGTACCAGCCCTTACCGTCATTTGAGGCCTGAGAAGGCTTGTAGCCTGAAGGGTGCTTGAGTCTCCTTGTCAAGCTCTGCTCGTACTCCAAAACGAGACCTTCGTGGCTGGTGAACAGGTCTACTGTCTGCAGCTGACCTGACGTGTCCGCACCGATAGTCTTCATGAAGCGCAACGAGTCGGAGATGCTGTGGACGATTTTCGAGTACTTGGTTTGTAGTTCCTCATCCCGAACGTGACCCAGTTCCCAGTCCAGAGGGTTGTGCAGATCAGCAATACCACTAGCTAGCTGTCCACGGATATAGTTCAGTGTCGTCGCGGAATGGAAGTAGGCGCTGACCAGCCTCTCAGGGTCAACTCTTCGAGCGTCAGGATCGTATCCATTGAGGATATCGCCACGGAAGCTAGGGACTTCCTTGCCGTTCAGCATCTCCGTCGGGCTCGATCTGGGCTTAGCATACTGTCCGGCTATACGGCCAATGCGAATGACCGGCTTGTTTGAACCCCAAATCAGTACCAAACTCATTTGCAGCAGAAGCTTGATCTTTGCATCGATTGGGTTGTCCGCGCAGTAAGAGAACAGTTCGGCGCAGTCGCCTCCTTGCAACAGGAAGGACTTTCCAAGTGCAGCATCGCGGAGACTGGCCTTGAGTCGCGCGATCTCTGTTGGTGTAACGATTGGCGGCAGACTCGAAAGCTTGGTCAGCGCAGAGGATACTGCTGCTTGATCTTCATATGTGACGACTTGCTTGATGGGCTTTGACCTCCAGGCTGTAATCGTTAGTACAGCAGCTTGAATAACCATGATCCCTCTTACAAGCTGGCGACCATTCTTGAGAGCCGACATCTGTCTCAGCTTCTTGCTTGGGCCTTTCCGGCAGTTGTGTTGAGTTTGCGCTCATCGTCGACAAGGTTGGTTGTGATTGTGTTTGGCCACTGGTTGCTGCCATGAACTGGGAAACGTAGTCGGTTAATTTTGCGTGCCCTTCGTTGTCCATAGTGTGTTCTTTTTCAGTTGATGTACCTAAGTACGCTTCTTGTGCTAGTTTGAGACTGTCTAGTTGCGACACGGAAGATCACCTTTGAGTCACTTGTTAATATGGCAGTTCGGCAAGGGTTCGCCTGCAAGGAGACGTGAGCAAAGGACGCAAACACATGACTCAAGGTACAAAATCTGCAACGAAAAGCGGACTGCGTGCGCAATACTTCATGACGTAACACAGCAAACTTACCCTAAATATGCTAATAGATGTGCAACGATCATGTCGCCGCTTCTGTGTTGGTATTCGAGTGTAAGGTCTATGTTCCTGCCGATGCGAGGTTTTATGCCAGAATGTAGGAATTAAAAGCGTGCATAACTCCAGAAAGTCAACCAATGGCGGCCACTCTCTTATCCCATTGGCCACATTTCCATAATCCTTAGCTACCCCACAACCCTCATCTCTCCGCATCTTCCACCGTTTGTACACGCCCTCTATATCCCCTCTGCGCTCTGTCAGCCTTCAAAACTGTATCACTCTACTCGCGTCATCCACAATGGCCGAGCCCCAGCCCTCCACCGTCCAAGAAGGCGCCGCCGAACCGCACGCACCCACAGGCACAGCCGATGACCGCAAAGCCGCCGCCGCCCTCTCCACCCTCGATGCGCCCCAAGAAGGCGAGAATGGGCCGAAGAAAGAAGTCGATGGCAAGGCACTAGACAAGGCGATGAAGGGACTGAATGTAAAGGACAAGAAGGAAGGCGAGAAGAAGAATGTCAAGATCGAGGCAGCCGATGTTAACCTGCTGGTACGTTCACCTTGGAATGGATGCGCAGACATACTGGAATCATTGGGCATAGACTGACAGTTGGACGAACAGGTCTCCGAACTTGAACTTACGAAGCCAAAAGCTATGGAGCTGTTGCGCGCGCATGATGGTAATGCGGTGAAAGCTATGACGGCGTTTGTCATGACAGCACCCTGAGCGACTGTATGGAAAGGACGATTATGCAAACACACAGAGCCGTCGCTAGTGTTTGAGGCTGCACATACTGAGGCGTCGAAGGGGGTGCGAGTATGGGACGAAATCCAGGCAGGCACTCGCATCTTCCGGGCTCAGGCCATCTGCTTGGACGATGTACAGCAACGGCCAATCTGCCCCCCGCCGCAACACAACTGGGCAACGCTAGATCGATGACTTTGAGAATAAGCGTTCAAGAACTGAAATAAATGGATTGTCACCGACAAGGCTTCCGTAGCATGAAAGACAAGACACCCACGAGAAGGTTTCGCGTTTCGAGACAAAAGAATTGATAGTCTACACTGGACTCTAGACATCCTCTACAAAGACAGATTCTCCTTAGCGATGATACGCCAGAAATCCACCACAAACTCTCCGCCCTCTTGCAACAGAGGTGCAAACGCTTCATGCTTCCCGATGGTCGACACTTCACAGGCTATGTACTCCACTACCAGCTTTCTGAGATCTTCGATGGATCCATCAGGCTTTCTGTCCTCGCCGTTATCATATGCGTATCTGGCCAATTCAACCACATCACCAACTCGTCGATCGTAGAGCTTGAACTTGAGGAGGGTTTGGTGGAGCTTGTGTAGAGCCAGGCGTTTGAGAGGGTCGATGAGACGCATGCAGGCGAAGGTATAGAGACGTGCGTGCGCTAAGAAGATAGGCGTGAAATCTTGTTCTGGCGCGGAGATCTCTGGGGGCAGGAAGCGTTCAAGCATTATGGTCTTGGGCTCTTGTGACATGAGGTATTCGCGCTGGCGGAAGCGTTGGCGCAATCTACGGGTTGCTTGGTTGAAGTCTGGATCCGAGACTTCCTCACCGCATAGAACTACTTCCGGTTTTTCGTCTGGTGAAACTTCCCAGTCATCTGCCGGTGGGACCTCATCATCGTAGGCAGCCCCATCGAAATCGTCTTTCTTCACTGCGCCCTCATCCAAGGTCCAAGGCGGTGCAGTGTAATCGTAACCTAAAGATGCGTGTACGAAGTCAGTGTTTGTCTCACACGCAATTCGTACATAGATAATTACTAACGATATGAGTACTCGATAAATCGAGCAAAGTCATCCGGCTCCATGTCCGGATACTCTACGGACCTTTCTTGCGACTGTACCATGCCATTGTTCACGAGTGCGTGAAAATGCCATGAGGTCGCGGCGACCGCTTTAGAGTGCACAACGAATGCTTTCTTCTCTTTGCCGATGTAGAAGGTGAACAGCTTCGATTGGATGAGACTATACACTGTCAGTCACCACGTTAAGTGACTGGTATTACGTACTTACTCCTCGAAGGAACATGACTCTGATGGATCACCCATCTTCGCACTTTCCGAATACCTCTGAAGTGCCTAGCGACCTAGGTAGGTACATGTTGGAGGCATTCTGCTATACATATTTTGAGAGATTACGCGCATTCAATGCGGGGTCGTACAGTGCATTCGCATACATGTAGTATGCGCCTGGTGTAGTACAGCATGATTTTTCTGCCTGTGGCGTCCAGACACGTCTTCTGAACATGCAGCTTTCTGCACTGTGCCGCAAACGTCAAACAGATACCCAAGTACCGTCACACACGAAAATAGAACAGAACCATACTTTCGGTCAAGTACAGGATACCATGATGATCGTGTCTGAGCAATAGTGCAATATGATCATCACTTTACGTTGGCATTACCCTAAAGATCGCAAAGCGCGAGTATGCTTGGAAGGGCGCTTCGATAAACGCGCCATAGCTCTTGCCGCTGTAAGAGTTGGAGAAAGCCGCATTATTTTACAGGCACCCAGGAAGCGCACATAAGGATAGCGAATATGAGCAGCGCGTGTAAGGCTAGCACTTGACGGGCGATTACTGCAAACCTACAAGCGTAAGCGAGCTCTGAGGCAACCGCAACCGCGTCTTGTCCGTTGCTTTTCCCATCTCAAAACAGGGTTCCATCACGCTGCGTCATCCGCGATCTTAGCAAGGTGATCGCGCGGGACGTTGCACATGGGGTTCCATGCTCGCCGCCGACGTTCTGGACGAATCGCGCGCTGCGAACCGCGATGATGTGCACCACGTACGTCACCGATCCGTGAACATGGTAGACGCTCCATACCTCACTACTCGTTGTTGAAGTCAACGTCCGGCAGCCAGATACACTAACGGCCGTCTACCAACTATCCATCTATCCTGTTTCTCTGCTTGCGCTACTAGCGCATACAAGCCGTCAACACGGCGCCTCAAGTCCCCTCTCGTCGCGCTCTCGCTGGCATTGCGCTCATCTCTGTATTGTCGGCCGTCGAGAAGCAGCGCAAGAAGAAGGTGAAAGGCAAAGAAGACCAGCACGAGTTCAATACGACCGAGGATATGTCCGGTGAACTACAAACGATACCTGCGCGCCATGGCGTCGCAACTTTTGTGCCCAGAGGCCGAACGATCAAGGTCATCAACACATACGGGAAGCAGGTAGTCAGTATGTGGGCGTTTAGTCTGGGGCCTCCGCCTGACGATGGAGACGGCGAGGAGGGTGAAGGAAATGAACTGGACGACGAACAACTCAAGAAAGAAGCAGAGCAGATGAAGAAGGCTGTTGAGGAAGAGGGAGAGAAAGATACAGAGGCGACAAAAGGAGAAGATGACGGAGCGAAGGAGCCGAAGAAGGAGGCAGATGGTAACGACAACGGTAAAGAGACGCAGTCTACCGAAGAAAAGGCCGAGGACTCAAAGCAAGAAGCTGCTGAGGACCCGCCCGAGCAGGCTCCCGATACACCCAACAACGAGAAGACGACCGAAAGCACAGATTCATCGTCAAAGCAGCCCAACAAGCGCACATGGGCGTCATACCTCCCTTCTATCCCGTACCGTAGCAAAGGTGGAGCGAGCAAGCAGGAAGCAGAGCAGAAGCCTAGCCCTGAGCAGGAGAAGAAGCAGAATGAGGAGAACACCAAGAAGTGGTCTTCGTACTTGCCGACTGGAAAGAGCTTCTCTAGTTACGTACCGAATGTCGAGGTACCAGACTCCAAATCTGTCGTGAGCGCGTTCAAGTCGAGCCATAATCGCGATCCGAACAAGAGCTACGCGGAGCAGTTGTACGATTTCTCGAAGACACCTGTGGGTGCTGGGACTATTGCCGGTAAGTCAACTGACGCGACACTACGTTGTGAGAATTTGCACTAACGTCGTGCAGCTGCAACAGGCTCAGGGTACGCATCCTCAGCTTACGCTGTATACTCCGCCTACGCTTCGACGAATCCCTCGAACTCCGAGCAACCTCCCATGGAGTACCTTTCTCTTCCACACACGCGCGCTGCCTCGCACAAACTCGTACCCGAAGTCGATGACGAACTCCTGACCAACCTGCGCAACCCGATCGTCACTCTCATCGAAGACACCTCGCCTGGTGCACACGATACACTGACGGCGGCGTGCGATGCGAACCAATACGCTGCTCTCGGTGTCGATAAGCCAGCGGAACATGGTAGCTGTGCCGAAAACCTCGTCCTCGCACTCAAGGAGATCAACGAAACAGCAGGACTGAAGGGCCCCAAAGCAGTCGGCGCAGACATCTCCGTCAATATCGCACCAACACCTCTTCATCTCTTCATGAATGCACCTCTGCAATCTGAAGGTACATCCCACAGCGACGGCGCAGGCACAAAGGGCGTGACACTCAGCGTCGATGAGCCCAAGGGCAAGAAACGCTGCCACGTCCGCTTCCGCGCTGAGCGAGACGTAGTCATAGTGTTCAGCGCCTGCCCCATGGACGTAGGCAAGCAGAACGGCGGACGCTGCATGGCAGCCAACTTCATGGTCGAAGACGTCCAAGAAGGCGAAGACCTCGCTTCATCCGTCGCATCCGGCAAAGCGAAGAAAGCACCGAAGAAGCTGAACCAGAAGGACAAGGCAGATGAGACGAAACCAAAGCCTAGAGAAGCGCAACAACCTAAGAAAGACGACACGGCGGAGGAGAAGGATGCACCAAAGAAGCCAGAGTTGAAGAAAACAGAGTCGAACAAGCAGGCGCCTAAGAAAGATGGCGATGCGGCTGATAAGAAGAATGCTCCTGCGCAGAAAGATGAGAAGCCAGATGGCTCCACGACATCTGAAGAGCCAAAGGCAAAGAAGAAGCCTAAGAAGCTTCAGGTGCGTAGCCAGGGGGCGTAGACACTAACACAGTCTTCATGAAACTGGCTGCGATTAGGCGCAGGTCGTAGTTATTGCCGTGGCTCAATTTGCCGGTTTGAGCATTGAAATTAGGATTTTGTACAATAGCTTTGGGTACTTCTGCCTTGATTTACGTAAACAAGTAATGTCTATGATACTTCTTGACTTTTGCGTGTATCCGTGGGTCTGCCAGTCTTGTGGTGAAGTTCTGCGGCGTTGGAGACGAACGGAAGTACATCCAACGTGGGAGCAGAGAGAATGAGTGAAAAAGTTGCACCGTAGCGAGCTGAAGGATGAGAGAAGTCATGAAGAAAGAAGATGAATTCTGGATACCGAGAAAACACGTCAGCGAGGGTATGTATGCTACATCCACCAATTTCCCACTCATGCACTCACACACGCACCCCCGCGCATCAATCCATCAACAAGCTCTCATACCATCTCCCTTCCTCCGTAACACAACACTTTCTCAAGCTCAAGCTCAAGCTCAAGCCGTAGCCTCAGCCCCCCTCCCCCTAACATAAACCGTCTCCATCCCCCTCGCCCTCGGCACAGCCGTAGGCTGCGCAACCGGCTCCCTCTTCCCCCACGAGATATACGTCGGCGGCGAAGGCTTGGGCCACGAGATACTCTGCCAAGGGAACTCCAGGCCAATACTGTTCTGCGGCGCTGGCACTGCTTTTCGCTCTGCGACAGTGCGAGCAGCGGGGGCGGCAGTAGGGTCAGGCGCGCGCTTCTTCTCTTTACCCCAGATGACGGTGTAGGTTGGGGGGTTAAGGCCGACGCTGTTGGGTTGCGTGGGCGCGGGGTTAGCGGGGATT